GGTGAATATCCATCTGTGCCCGTAAATGTCTGTTCCAGGTAGCATTTCTGAGCTGGGAGGCTGCGGATGTGACCTGCCCCACAGGCACAAGACCAGGGACTGCAGACCATTGAAGGCCACGCAATGGAGGCTGTTCCCAAAGGCATTCTCCTAAGTGCTCTGGCTAGCAGACTAGCGATTAGGTCTGCCTTGCCCAGTCCCCAGTGTCCCAGTGACAGAGCGGACGCTGAAAGGGGGATGAGCAGGGTACGACTGGGGTTTTCCCTGCTGTTCCTCTCTCACTTGCCACCCCCAGCATTTACGGTCCAGCAAGTTGCGATTCGGAGGCTGTGCCCTACTCCCATGCTCAGTATCTACTGATGCCCCTTTCCTCCAAGACCGTGTCCAGTCCCTTTTTGGATCTGGCTGAACTGTCAGCTTGCAAAGCGTCTGGTGGCCATGAGCACCACGCTTTAATGACACGCTGCATGGAGAAGAACGAACTTCTGTTGCTTGTCTGTTTAAACTTATGACCGACTAGTTTCATTCTAGGACCCTTAGTTCTTATTTGTTGCCGTCTCTCACAAAATAAATCCCTACTTATTTTCTTTCGCTATTTAGTATTTTGTAAATCCTTAGCATGTCACCCCTCAAGCATCTCTTTCCTAAACTGAATAAGCCTGGCCTCTTTAGTCTCTTCTCATAAGGAAGCCCCTCCATGCCACTGATTATCCTTATTGCTCTTCTCTGAACCTTCTCCAGTTCGTCTGTATGCTTCTTGAGGTGTGGGGCCCAGAGCTGGGCCCAGTATTCGAGGCCCAGGCACCATGGATTTTAGGGCTGACAAACAATTTAAAAAATTAATCGCAATTAATTGCAAGGTTTAAAAAAATAGTTGCAATTAATCGCATAGTTAAACAATAGTCGGGACCCCCTCACCGAACAGCTTGGAGCGTGTGTGCCCTGTGACTCCTCCCCACCACCACCAACAGCGTGCCGCCCCAGCCCTGATCCCAGCCCGGCTAGACTTGCGCCCTGGCTGGAGCAGACAAGCGAGAACCCGTGCCCACAGACCCGACCCTGACCTGCCCTGTGCCTGCTCCAAACTCACCTGCCCACACTGAACAGGGGCAGCGGCCGAAAAGAAGCTGCTGCTCAGCACGAAGGAAAAGCAGCCCCTCTCCCTCAGCACTGCTGGGCCCTTCTTGCTGCAGCTACATGGAGCCTGTGTCCGGGCTGCCCTGTGGCTCCTCTGTGCTGCCACCGCTGCCCCACTGGACTGCCCAGAGGCGGCGGGGACAGCAGCGGAGAGGAGCCACAGGGCAGCCCGGGCGCGGGCTCTGGGTGGCTGCAGCAAGAAGGGCCCAGCAGCAGAGAGAGAGAGAGAGGCTGTTTTTTAAACTGCAATTAACTGACAGCCCTAATGGATTTATAAAGGGACAGAACGATACTTTCCGATTACACACCTGGGCCCTGGGACAAAGACAGCTTGAAAAGGTAGAAGCAGTGCCATAGCAAGTGGGGCACAAGCGGGACGACCGCCCCGGGTGCTGAAACAAAGGAGTGCCAACAGGCGCTGCCCAGCTGGGGCAGGGCGCAGGATGGAGCCACAAGTGGCTTGTTTGGGGGGCAGAGGGATGGGAGAAAGGCAGCTCCTGCTGCTGTGTGTGCACCTAGGCAAGCATGTGTGCCCCCTGGATCTGTGCATGTGGCGACCGCAGGCTGCTGCTGTGGGCTTTGCCCCCGGGGCAAACTTTGCTGCCATGGCACTGGATAGAAGCCACCTTGAAGAGACATGCTACCCTGAAAGCTGTACACTGCCTTTCAGGAGCTCCTGGGCTTCCTCAAAGGATGCCAGTTGGGGGTGTCCTTCCTCTGTAATTTGAGAGGAAAACTTGTCTCATGTAGCTTGCAGCAAAGCATACGTTTCTGAGTGACTAAACGTGCTTGGGCTGCTCATTCCCTTTGTTGGTTAGAGCTCTGCTCCATTTGCAGATGAGTGTCCGTCCTGGAAGATGGTTGCTGGTTGTGATGCTACAGCTCGCATGCTCCTGTGGAGAGGAGAGAGCAGGTACTTAAACCCAGCCAGGCCTGCTTGGTGGCAAGGGGTGGGCCGCGACGGGGTGTTTTAGGCAGAGTGCAGTCTGAGAGCCAGAGCACGGTGAACTTTCTGTCTGAGAGGTGATGACAAGAGGTTAGATGCTTCTTGGGGCACATTGGGACCAGAAAGGGTGACCAGCCTGGCCAGCACCTAACAGCGATGTCCGTGCTGGCTCCCATTCAGCTCACTTCCTGCAAACATCTGCAAGTGAGTGAGTGTTTCTAAGCAGGGTCGCACCAAAAGCAAGTGTCGCCAATGCAAATTCACACAAGGCCTCTTGAAAGCTTGGCCATCATCTTTAAAGCTTGGCCAAGCATCCTGTCAGGGAGCAGGAGTAACACCCCAGGACCAAGGGTGCATGGTGAAGGCCTGGCCTCCTGCCCAGCTCCAGCCGTGCTCGCAGCCCATGACACACCGCAAGTGCATGCTCCCAGGTTTCGACTGGAGAGGTGCCCGATATCTGAGCAAATAATTACACTCGCTGCACGTATTGATTATCAGCTGCTTTAAAGCCATTAACAACTCAGCCCTGGATAATCACCATAACAACCTTCCCTTGCTTTGCCTAGTGTTTATGTAGCAAATGAAGCTGCGGCACGATAAAGGAACTTCATCATCCCCAGATTCATTACTTACATAAACAGTCTTGCAGGCAAACTGTTGCTTTCCGTGTAAGGGGTGGGGGGGTGTTGGTTTTTTAGGACCTGGATGACATGTTCCTTATTTAAAATTACTCCCAGGAGGCATTTCACACCAGGAGACTCTTTGTTAGCTCATCGCTTATTATCCCATCCCTCAGCCCAATATAAGGGGACCTTCTCATAAGGAAAGTACCAACACTAATCGTCCCCATCGTTGAAGGGAAGCTCTCTACCCCCAGACCAGAACAAAGGGGCCCCACTGTGTTGAGTGGGGGGGGGGTCCCAGAATAAAGACATGTAGCAGGCTTACTTTTTCGGGGCTTGGGTCGAGTCCCAGGATTGAGGGTCTGCTGTTTGATTGGAGGAGTCCATGCACCAATCCACAGGCAGAACAAGGGAAGCGGTGCCCCGCCTTTTTCCGAAGGGAGGGGGCAAGGAGCAGCTGGACCTGAATGGGAACTGCACCAGCCAGGCCTGGAGCACGTCGGGGGCGGAGCCTCTGAAGAGTATAAAAGGGGAGCGTGCTCGGCACGCTGGCGAGAGGCTCTCGCAGGATCGGTCTCCAAGGGACAAGCCTTGGCTGCTTCAGAGAGGAAGCGGCCCCACAGGGGAGGCAGGCATGGGGCAGGAGGGTCTGCCACCTCCACCCTCCATCGCGGGAGGGGCGTGGCCACATCCCAGGGCCCTAAAGGGGAGGGGCTTCAGGGAACCCCCTCGGGGAGGTGCTGAGCGCACTCCCTATTTTGGGTGACTGTTGTGTCCAGGTCTATATAGCTCTGGGTATTCTTTTAAGACGTTATATATGGTTTCTATGTTCTTAATGTATTAATATGTAGGTCAAGAAATGCTATTAACTTATCTGGGTTATGTAAGTTGAGTCCTCATATGCATTTATCATGTCATAACCTTAACTATCTTGTTCAATGTATTAATTATTATATATTTTGTAAGTTATATGGTTTACGTGAATTGTGGGATATTAGATGTAGTGAGATATGCCAAGCTTTATCGTAAATAATTCATGTTTTATCTTAGGTATTTATTATAGTCATAAATTGTACATAGTTAAGCACTCGGTCTCGGCCTGGCTCTGTGGAGAGGAGAGGGAACTGCTCTAGTAGCCGGCCCCTCCATCAGCACCCCGTCAGTGGAGGACAGGGCACAACCCCTGGGTGTACCTGGGCTGCAGAGAGAGCCCACCTGTTTCTTCCCGAAAGAATCACTGCAGTGGAAAGCCAAAGGAGCATTTCACTAGCATTCAGATCTGGCCATGGTAATGCAAAAAACCCCCCAACCCATACTCATTCTCTGGAGTGGTGTAGGGCAGCTCCAAGCTCTTGCTGCCTGCTGGATTCCTCAATTCACCCCAGTCATTATGGGCCTCCATCTCCCCTTTGCTTGGGTATACGTTAAAGCAAGGGGTTGCTCATAAAGACCTTCACAGCCGCGTGAAGAATTCATAGTACAGCATTTACTTAACCCGCAGGTTTCCATCAGTGGCAGTGAGGGCCGTTCCTCACCATACCTGAGCTCCGGTACCTTGTTCTCCTGGCTGCAGGCAAGTCTGTAGGCAGCACCTTGCTCTCTGGCTCAGCACCCATGGGACCTGGCCTTGCAGCTTGGTGATTAGGCAAGGTCGACCCAGAATATTGATGTGTTTAAGACCAGAATTAAAGCACCAGCATGCAGTTCCTTTCTTCAGACGATGTCAGCTGTACACAGGCTGGACAATACTAATTCAATTGCTGACAATACTAATCCAATCACTGCTAAACACTAGTGTTACATAGTAAAACCGAGCATATAGCTCCTATGAACTGAGTCGAGCAGCTTCTTCAGCCTTGCTGTTGGGACATTTGCTGCCCAACCTAGTATCTGCAGTGTACAAATGAAACTAGATCTACTACAGTAGCATCCACAGGAACCCTGTCTGGGCCAGGGGCTTTACATGTATGTAGTAAGGGTCAGACTGTGGCTTACAAGAGAGCAATGTGGGAGGGGACGCACAGGTGCCAGTATCAGAGGAAGGAGGGAAGCTGGGTAGCTCTGCATGGAGCCTGGGTAGCTCAGTTGGAAGAGCATCAGACTTTTAATCTGAGGGTCCAGGGTTCAAGTCCCTGTTCAGGCGACTGCTGCTTTTGGGTCTTCAAGAGGAGTCTGGACAAGCACCTAGCTGGGCTCCTCTGGCTCAGCGCTCTTTCTTGCCCAGGGCAGTGGGTCAGACTCAATGACCTACTGAGGTCCCTTCTGACCCCAATATCTATGTCCTGGGCCCCACTCTTCAAGCAGGATGTGGCCAGTTTGGAAAGAGTCCAGTACAGGGCAGCAAAATACACAGCTGTCGGGCTCCCCATTGCTTCGGCCTGGCTGAAGCAGCCTTATCTTGCCCTGAGCATTGCCATAATGCTCCCACCCACATCCCACCCTCAGCAACACCGAACACACACGCTCCTCATGGCAGGGCACAACCCTGCGATGGGCACTTCATCACCCGTCCTGCCGAGCGCAGGCCCTTTGTGCTGTAGAGCAAGCAGAGGAGCTGGGTTTCGTCGCTCGCGTGCGGGGCTAAGATCAGCACACAGGGAACAGGTGCCTGTCAGGGTAGTGCCACACTGGGGGCTGGGTTGCGCCACCTGCCCGTGGTGCCCGGCTTCAGGCAGGCATGCAGCGTGGCCCTGCAGCACTTCACCCTCCACCTCGGAGCAGCCCTCTCCCTGGAGCTGCAGCAGCCTGTACTGCTTATAGATAACTTACAATCCCTCTTTCATCACAAGTGCCGTAACCCCCCGTCGACTGTGTGGGCCACGCGCTCGGTGGCACACACGGGGCATTCGTGGTGCCTGTTGCATTAGCAGCAGCAGGGCGGCCGGTCTAAAGCCCTGCGTGCTACCCTGGAAATTTAGCTTTGGCAAGCCGATGCATTAGCAGCCTGGATTCCTGATCAATCTGGAAGCAGTAAAAAAAATCTTAGAAGGGGGAAGACTTGAAAGCGCTCTGATGTGAACTCTGAACCCTCTGCAAAATCCCTTTGAACTTGTGAAGTGAGTCGAAGGTGCAGCAGTCAAAAGACAGCTGGCATTATCGCCGCAGCCTGTTCCCACACCCCCGACATGTGGACTGGAGGGTGCTTGGAGCTGCTGGCTCAAAGAGGGCTCTTTGCTCTGCCGTGTTACTTTGCTTCCCAAGTTTTCCCGAGCTTCTGTGCACCTGGACAATGAGATCGGGGCTTCTGCGCCCAGCTTTCCAGTGTGGGGCTGGGGGTAGATCTGGGATTGCAGACAGGACCCTGCAGTGTCGGGCACTCCTGCTCTCGCATGCACATCGCTGGCTCTTCTAATAGCAATGTGCGCTGAGCGGCGGGGGAAGAAGCGGAGGCGTTCCTGCATGGGACGTTAAGAGCCTGCGCTGGTCAAGCAGTCGCCCTCTCCAGCACCGGGAGCCAAACGCCACGAGGCAATGCTAAGCTGTTACCCCGGGTCCGCAGAACGCGGCTTACACGGCAGTGACAGGTGGTGCTTGACCCCTGGGTCAATGGCAGGCGGATTCATCCTCCTGTTCATGCAAAGTGACTCAACCAGGCAGTCGCCTACGAGATCTCAGCAGCAAGCTGCTAGTTTGTGAATACTGCGTTTGAGAGAGAGTGAGTGCAAGTGCGTGCGTGCATGCATGCACATACTTGTAAAAACCTGGACCTGGAGCCCCTCCATCCTGTCTCTGAGCTCCTTTGGTACCACGCAGCACAAGGGGAGGCTGTCCCCAGCTCCTGGACTCTAGGGCAATTTAACACAAAGCATGCAGAAGGTTTAAGGTGGGTATAACAATGTCAGCAAGCCACGCATGTCCCCTGCGGCAGCTCCATCTGCGTTTCGAGGCCCGTTTTGGTGGGGTGTCGTTGGGTCCTGCTGCTCTGCAGATTGTGCTAATGAGGCTCTGCAATTACCGGTGCAGGAGGGGCCTGGTGGCAGAAGGGCTAAGGTATGGCTACAGGGTGAGGCCAAAGCTGCTCCCAGCTGCCCCAGTGGTCGATGGACATCTCGTCTCACAGGCAAAGGAGACAGGCCACCACCAACCCGGGAGTGCAGGCAGTCTTCAACATGTACTGGCCGGCTGCTGTCCCAGCACAGCTCCCATCCGCCTTTGTGAGTCTCACCCCCCCCTTCCAACGCAATCTGCTGCCCAGCTGCTGCAGCACGTCCTGCCCTGGGGACAAGGCCGGGAGATGTGGCGCTGCGAGCGTGGACTCCAGCGAGCTGGGCAGGCGCTGACCCTGCATTCCTGCCACTGGTCCTTGACCCCCAGGCCCCTTTCACAAGCTTTCCCTTCCACCTCCTTGCTGATTCCCACCTTCACCTTCCCTTCGAAGTCGGGCTGGTAGCAGCTCGGTAATTAGAAACACTTGTGCAAAGCAGCAAGCTGTGTCCGGCCAGGCCGTCGGTTCAGCGGCTTCACTTCGTCGGGGCCTCCGCTGAACTCATGCGCTTGCTTTCAGTGGTCGCAGGGGAGGCCTGGCGTGGTCCAGCGCCGGCTGAAGAGGGATGGAAGACACCACCGTACTGAGGCACCCTGAGGTGCTGCTCTGAAAGCTGCTGTCCCCCGCACTTAGAGCATTTTGCTCTGGTAAGGAAGAAGCCCTGTGCCTTCAGGCTGTGGGTCAGGCAGCGCTGCCCAAGCCAGGAGTGGCGACAACCCCAGTTGGCTTCGCACTAGTGCTGTCGGAGAGCGCACAGAGCTGCCTTGGGAGAGCGTGTCTTTGATCGTTCTTCCGGGCCTGTGTTCAGAGCCGGCCAGGCCTTTCTCATTTCTTAGGACTCATTAAGGTCCCTGCTATAAAAACCTTTTAAAGCAATTTATAGAATGCCTCCGCCCGGTGCCGCACGGCCTTTGGGCCACTCCGTCATGTTGCTGGCTGTATTTCTGCTCGCAGCCCTTTTATAAGTCTTCCTTCTTTATTATGAGCCCCCCACAAGGTGCCCATAAAATGATGCACAAGAAAATTACAGCCGTTATTTTTTGACTATCAAATAAATTTCTTTTCACGAGTTTTATTTTACTAGTGGCGATTGCAATAACCTCCCAGCAACAATTCCATATTTTTTTTTATTTGACCCCATTTGTTTCTGGGTGTCGAAGGGCGCGGTGACATCTTGCCTCAAACACAGAGCCTGCGGGTGCCGGGCAAGGTTCGTTTGGCACCCACCGGCCAGGCAAAGGGCAAGGCTGGTACCACGCGGAGCCCTGCGGCCTGGCAAAGTCAGCGGTGCTGCACGCACACGCGGCTGTCTGCTGGAGCTGATGAGAGCCTGGAGGCCAGAGGCACTCACGTGCCTTATTTACAGTGGATCTCTTGCTGTTTGTGGCCTTGAGTCAAGAAAGGCCTGAAGCATGCACTTATAGCCCGTTTATACCTGTTTGCATAAAAGTTAGTGGCCTGTGCGATACAGGAGGGCCAACAAGCTGTGCTAAAGGGCATGTCCGGCCCTAAACGCTGTGCCTTAATGGTGACCATGAGTCAGGGCCCTGAAGAAGGCTGTTTCAGCATGGGGGGGGGGGGGG